AGAGAATTGGTAACAGCGGCGTGTCGCCAAAGGGCTACCTGTGAAAGTCGGCGGGAGCATGCTCGCATCTACTGTGCTACTCAGAGCCCACACACTCCTTTGGGACGATGTTGCAAGCCTTTGCTATGTGTTATGCGTATGAACTGTAACGCAAACGGGTACGGGATACCTCGCTTATAAGCTAACATGTCATGTGACGGCGCAATGGCTGAAGTCCTTCTGAGCACGATGCCGAGATTGACGAGCCTGACCTCCTCATCATGTTAGTAATGTAGGTGAAACTCTGCGGGACCCTGAAAGCACTTCCATGTGGCAGTTACGCCGTCGATTTGGGTTCTGTAGCCTAAGGCGTGGGTGTTATCAAGCATGATAAGACGTTACTAAGTACTCGATTGAACAGGCGTAACCTAACAATGTGTGCAATGAGTGAGGACACTATGTACGCCATGGGTGAACAAGGCGGCCGGCCTCGGCTGGACAAGGGGCTCTGAGCCCGTCTAGCCATGCAACGAGCACTAAAACTACAGTAAACAAGGGGGTTCAGCGTCCATATAACGAGGTGTGTTAGGTCAACTGGTGCCGTGGAGTCACAGGAGCGCATTCCAGGTCTATAAGGCCCATAGGGTTGTGCGTCGCACTTGAGTCGTTCCACTCCCCTGTAATAATCGCAATCATTCCAGTGGTAATAATACGTTCCTGTACTGAAGAGGAGGGGCTCCGCCCTTTTCCAGCTTTGAGGAAGCTGAAGCCCCCTTGTCCGTATCGATGTCAGCTAGCAGCTGCTTTATCTTGGCCCACCGATCAGCCAGCTCCTGGAAGCCATCAGCAGCCTTCTCTTCTGCGTGCATGCATTGGGTCCATGGCAGTGTTTTTGAAGTGGTTACTAGGAACCAAGGGTACTAGGAACCAAGTGGTTACTCTGAAATTAGTTCACCTCCGGAGGGTGGTTACTAGGACAAGGGGGTTCAGCTTCCTCAAAGCTGGAAAAGGGCGGAGCCCCTCCTCTTCAGTACAGGAATGTATTATTACCACTGGAATGAATGCGATTACAGGGGAGTGGAACGACTCAATGGGCCTTATAGACTTGGAATGAGCACGGCATGCGCTCCTGTGACTCCACGGCACCAGATGACCTAACACGGATGTTATACGGACGCTGAACCCCCTTGTTTACTGTAGTTTTAGTGCTCGTTGCATGGCTAGACAAGCTCAGAGCCCCTTGTCCAGCCAAGGCCGGCCGCCTTGTTCACCCACGGCGTACATAGTGTCCTCACTCATTGCACACATTGTTAGGTTACGCCTGTTCAATCGCGCACTCAGTAACGTCTTATCATGCTTGATAACACCCACGCATTAGGCTACAGAACCCAAATCGACGGCGTAACTGCCACATGGGAGTGCTTTCAGGGTCCCGTAGGTCGTTTAGGTTTCACCTACATTACTAACATGATGAGGAGGTCAGGCTCGGCAATCTCGGCATCGTGCTCAGAAGGACTTCAGCCATTGCGCCCCAACATCGCATGTTAGCTTATAGGCGAGGTACCCGTTTGCATTACAGTTCATAGGCATTATGGCACACAAACCAATAGCAATGGCAGGCAACATCGTCACAAAGGATTGTGTGAGCTCAGAGTAGCACAATCGATGGAAGCAAGCATGCTGTCGCCGACTTTCACAGGTAGCCCTTTGGCGACACGCCGCTGTTTCCAATTCATTAAGTACTGTTTACGGTACCAGGACAAACCATAGAGGAGCGCTAATCGGTGTTGCCGCGGTGGTCCTTTTGAATGGCTGGTCAATAAATCGTTTGTTGCGAAATTAAGTTTGTTTGGCTTCCAGTTATTTTTACTGAATACAGATAACAAATATCTATTAGGTGCAATAAATAGTTTTGTCTAGTTTGTATGTTTTGCCGTTACGGACACACGGACGGACACACGGACACACGGACACACGGACAGGGGCAATCCTGGGGGGCGAAGCCCCCCCGAAGCCGCTTCGCGGCGGGGGCTCCGCCCAAAAATTTTGGCCTAACCTGAAAGTGGCCAGGTGGTAACTGGGAAATTGATCACCAACCATTGATCACGCATGCAAGAGTAGCTAGCGATCAACCGGCCCCAGACAGCTGGTCGCTGGCTACCTCAGCACACGGACCTCAACGGTCCAGTTGGCGTAGCATGTTCACATCCTGTCATTCCTCATTGCCATGGTCTACGGAATGAACATCCCATACAATGCAGCACTTTAGCACTGGCATGTTAGCATGGTGTGCCGCTGGGGTGTTTATGACGATGCTGCAAGTAATGCCTTTTGCGCGGCATGGTAGCTCAGCACGTGTGTGTGACGGGGGTTTTGGGGGCGCAGCCCCCGGAAAAGTATGGGTGGTTACCAAGGAAACACCCCGAAAGGCCCATAGTAACCACTTGGCGCCCAAAAGATAGCCCCGCCATCGCTTCGGTGGCACACAAGATATTATATATTATTGGACCCAGGGATTGTTGTTGGACTGGATTGCTTGGGTTTCTAGTTTGGGCATGCGCGGTTACCCAAGTTGTGGCGCCTTGTCTCACCGTCCGTGTACGGATGGAGGATGCGTGTGACATCCATGGGTGCGCGCGGGAACTCAAACCGACAGTCATGAGGGTCGTACTTGAAGCAGGTTGCCCGGTGGTCATGGGTCTGCAGCTTCACCAGCTCCGCCTCAACCGCCGTGGCACTGCACGTGATGTAGGTGTCGATGTAGCGCACAATCTCTGCCTCGTTTGTGCCGTCATAGACTGGTGGGGCATCTATGGTCCACACAAGCCCGTGCTCATGTGGTGACCCTGCAACCAATGCGTAACAATGGGTCAGTGGTTGTGGGTCTGCGTGCAAAAGGGAAAGCGAGGGTCATGTCCACAGCGGTTTGCAGGAGAGGGAGTGGCAGGAGTGGCACGTGGGTGGACGGCTTGCTGGGTGCGGGAAGGTGAATGGGACGCATCTTGCATGGGTGATTGAGGGTGGGTGGGTTAGGGTTTTCGTGCTGGGGTAGGTTTGGTATGGCAACACATGCACGATGGGGAGTGCAAGGAATGTGTGTGGAGTGGAATGTAAGGACTGGACTGCAGTAATGGATGGCAAGTACAGCGGGCGGGTGTTTATGAGTGGAGCTTGTTGGAGCCAGCTCCTCTACACCCCCAATCCCCTACAACCCCTACCCAGCGTGTACTGCAATGCCCACATGTGTGTTTATCAATGCATCCGTGGCTCGGATGCTCTGCATGTCCCTTCCCTGGGTTCCTACCTCGGTGCTGGAATTCTACACGCCAGAAGTAGTCTTGCATGCCACCTATGGCTGAGGGGCACCCGGCTAACGCAATGCGTTTGAAGGCATCAACACGGTGCTTGAAGTACCGAGCGGTAGTCACAGGGTCATTTCGAACCAGGTCCATCCGCTGGGTTGCTGTCAAGGCAGCAAGGTCATCGTCGCTGAGGGGCTGCCCATGCTGCTGCTCGTACAGGCATCGTAGGAGGTCTGGCCACTGGAGGTCTGCGGCAGATAGAGTCATGAAGAAGGTTGGCTGGCCTAGCTGCCGCAGCATCGCAAACAAGTCCTTTTTGGCCTTGTCCCAGTAGTCGGGGCTTTCTTGTAGCTGCTTGAAGTCCCGGTATGCAGCATCGGTACGGATGAGGTCCTGCAGGACCTCCTCGTTTGCCACCTGACGGACCAGAGGAATAAAGTTTCTTGCATGAGTTGTAATGGCAGGGCATCGACTAGTACCAACTGTTGTGTTGATATTTGTTCAGGGCTGTTTTAGGGTACAAGTGACCCGTGGGTCGGCCCAACAGGTCTGATGTACATTCCTGTGTACTCCCTGCAATGTCCTGTTCCCAATGCACCCCAAGTATTTGACACATTGCGCACCTGGCTGGCCTTTATGGACTGGCCTCCAAGTTTGGCCTTCCGAACACGGATGTTGGCAGCATTCCGGACTTGGAGACACTGCAGCTTTTTGACCTTGAAAAAGATGTTGGTGATGTTGGCAGCACAGCGAGCGTCGCATCGCATGAGTTCGCTCTTAACAATGTCGCTGTACGCCACGGGTACCTGTCGCGCCGCATTGCTTGGCCGGGGATGGCCGCAGAATATTGTGGGGAAGGCCATCTCCTCAGCATGCTCATCCATAATGATGCCCAGCGGGTCGCTGCCCTCGCCTGGCGCGACAGCATGCACCTTGTGGGCTTCCGTGGCAGCGTTGGTAATTGGCTGCAGCATGGTTTCGGTTTCATGTAGCTGCGTATCCTCCTCCCCTGCATAACGGTTGGGCTGCGTACCGGCTGCAATGAAGGGGAAGAGCGTGCATGCATATGTTAGGTACTATACTTGGATCAGTCCGGCATAGCATTGGCAAACGCACAAATACTAATGTTGACTGTGCAACCAATGTAGCCTTCTTGTGCTGGGTGGTGACACTGCCCATGCACCCACCCGGCTTTAAGGGTCGATAGTTACATGTGGCTGGGCTGGCTACAAAGGAACAAAGTGGACCCACCTTTGAAGTAGATAGGGTCTCCATTGTCGTCCACATGCCATGACCCTGGCTCCGCAAAGGTCTGGTTGTGACTGTCACCGATGGTTGGTGGCAGGTCGCATCCGCCACATCGGCTGGCATACACCTCACGGAAGGGAGTGCCAGAATACGCCTGATGCCCCCACTCCACAAACTCTTCGGTACACAGCTGGCCCAGCTTCGCCCGTAGCCACTGCCGCTGCTTGTCTGTGAGGGCTGCTTCCTCTGCCGCCATGCTTGCTTCCAGCGCCTCTGCAGCTTGCAGCACCTCGCTAGGTGTTGCATCCGTGTCAGGAAGGCCATCCCCCTCTGCAATTCGTGGTAGGGCAAATGATTGATGTTATGTTCGGCTACAGGTTATCAGGTGCCTCATGTAAGAATGGTCATGGAAAAGCCTGGTAGGATACTATGCAGCCATAATGTTTGATTTCTGTACCTGCTTCACGGCAACCCGCTTAACTTGCATATGTACCCTTCCTACCTGAGAGCCCAGTGTCAAATTGTGAAAGCCATTCCTCCTCATTTGCCATGTGAGCGTCATGGTAGAGGGGTGTTCGCGCAAGGTACCGTAATGCGCCAAGGACAGCTTGGGGTTGGATCATCTGGCGCATGAAGGTCCGCTTGTACTGCAGTTTGCGTTTCAAGCCAACCAGTACGGTTTCGCTGTCGTCGAGGTGCCGCGGCAGCATCTGCTGTACGCGAGTTAAGTCAACGGGGACGTTCACAACAGATCCTATGGGCGAGGGGCAGGTTGGGGGCAGATGTTTGGGTCAGGCGGGTTGGGAGAGGGCTAGCTACGGCCTGATATGGGAAAGACATGTTGGAGTCCGTGGTAAGGGTACGGTGAGTGCAGATGGTTGGGTCGGATGAGGTGAGACCATACTAGCTAAGGACAGTCATAGAGAGACTATTCGCAGCCCATCGGAAGGAAATGATAGGAAGTCTTTCAGTGATATAGTGGCAGATGGGTCTTGCATTTTGTAGCAGGTTTACTGTAGGGAAACGCCATGGAACACGCTTCCCGCATGTTTTGCTTCCATAGGATGTAAAATAAGATAAATTTCCTCACGACTTACCCCGGAGGCCATGTTGATGCCCAGCAGGAAGCCTCCTTAACTGGAGGAAAATAATCCGCCTAGCAATGAGCCTTTCTGCTAGCTCTGGAATGCCCTGAAGCTCGACTGGCACAACCGGGAATCCAAGCCCATTGTCTACAGCGAATCGCGGGCAGCGATTCCTACGGATGCTATTTAAGCATGTATGGCATATATGCCCTATGCCAGTTCGGGCTACCCATCCTGCAAGGTTTGTTGCCCACACTTCGCGGAGGGTGTCATACATGGTTTCCGTGACCTCTACCACTGAATGTTTGAACAGACGTCACTCACAGCAGCAGCATGCGAACGAGCAGGTTTGGGAGAACGCTTCTCTGCACGCCTTCTCAGCAACTTCGACACACGAGTGCGTGCTGGTGGTCGGGAGCCCAAGGCCGTCGGAATCCACATCTGCCTCGTTCTCGGTGCCGGGTTCGTCTTCATCTGAAAGGGCATGGCGCGAACCCAAAACTCCGTCATCTATGTATCTCAAGCAGCAAGTGTTCACTAAGGCTTATCCAACGTTTGTGCGCTTAAATGAAGGCCGGAGCTATAGAACCTTTGTCAATGCCCCACAACTAGCAAATATTGGCAAACAACCAATAACCCACCAATGTCACCATCCTCCACACCGCTATTGTTGCTGACGTTTCCATTATCCTCTAATGAACATAGAAGACGCTGAGTTTTCGCCAACTGCCGAAGTCGGTAGTGCACTTGATTGTACGTGGCAGCACTTCCATTCAACTCCTTTACGACAGCGCCCGCTGTTACTTTTCTGTTGGTGGATTGTAGCGTGAGCACTGCTTCCTGAAACGCTGCTTCCTCGTCCGGAGTCCACTTTGAACGCTTCTTCAAAGGCTGAGTGGTAGCGTTGGGCCTAGGCCGGATATACTTTTGCCCGGCTTTGTTGTATTGCAAAAAACTGAGAACACGTTTATACGTCAAGCCCTTCAAGCGCGTGTCGGAGCACACTTCATCATACAATAGCTTGGCAGTAAGTTTCAGTCCGCTAGAAGCAATAGTCTCGGCTGCTTTACACAGAGCCTCAACTTCATATGTTTTCCTGCATTCCCTGGCCATTGTGTGTATGAAGGCAATACCGAAGCCATTTGTGTCGGCCCTATTAAACTACGCTGCTGGCCTTACCGCGACAACAACCTAACGGATACCAACGTGTAGCAAGCTATCAACATGCGCTTAAGGCCTCTTCTTTTGTAACTTGTTTTGTACTTTGTACGACACAGGCCAACATCACTGCTCACCCATATACACATCATTATTTTAACATCACAATACAACACACACCTGTGCAATGAATATGTGACGAACGCTGCAACTCCTCTCAACTCATAACAATCGTTCTTGACTTGGAGCCACATCGCAGGTTGTCTTAGTGACTTGCATATACACATTCAAATTTCAAACCTTTTGCACGAAAAAGATGCCAAAAAGCTCACGCAAAAACATCTATAATTTGCCGGGGTGTTCACTAAGGCTGTTCCCTTGCTTCCAAGCCGCGGCCTAGCGGAGCGCCTGGAATCAAGGGCAGGCCAAAAACAGGACCCGTGCGCAAAACAAACTAATTAATTAAAGGGTATGCATGGTTCCAGGGAAGGGGGGAAAATTTTATGGACAAACCCATTGATTAAGTTTTGAGAGGGTACGTCCCAGCACCATCCACCAAGCCCAGCAAGCATCTCGTACAATGTGAAAACTTTGTCAAAACGCACGGGGAAGAACTGCTAGACCCCACTGCTTAAGCTCCATTTATTGGTAAAGAAATACCCAGAACCCCTTTGGGAGACGGACAGAAAACTACCACCACCATGCCCCCGAACCCCACCCCTGCCTCCTCTTCCCCCTGTCACGCAACGCCTTGGATTACTACCCACGGCGCCACTTCCCAATTCCACATCATCTTGCAACCCTCACTTCACCTGCACTCCCTCGTCTGCAGCTGCGGCCACGCCCAATGCTTTCATCGGTGCCTTGCAGAAGCAAAAAACCCATGAAATATCCCCTTTTCAGCCGCTGCTGTGTTTGACTGCTGCAATGCGACCCTCAACCATGTGACACAAGCTGTTGCACTTAAGAACTGAGTGGAACTAATCTATGAAACCTGCATGAACCTCAGTCAGTTGTTCATTGGGATGGGCGTGCTGCACATTATCCGGGTATCCTTTGTGAAACAATGCACATGCAGTGCACACCACTAGACGTTTTTGGCCTGCCCTTGGTTCTAGGCGCTCCGATAGGCCGCGCCGTGGAAGCAAGGGAAAAGCCATAGGGAATACCGGGACTTAAGGTCCTCAGTAAATTTCCTATTCAGGTAACATCGCGCTAGAAGCCATATCATTGTAAATGTTTGCAGACTATTACTAAATGTAAGCCACGGTACCATGGAGAACAGTTGTTCGAACACACTGACAACATGGTTATGGGGCATGAACATAAAGATGGTGTTAAGTGGTGCTACTGTGAATGTTCGGAACAACGACCGAGTGTGTTTCCCTGTTGTCTGTTGTTAAGGTGCAATGTTGCTGTTCAGAAAGGCGCTGTCGTACACGTGCTTTCTTACAATGGCTGTTTGGCATCCCTTGTTGATCACGGAAAGTCGTTGTAGTTATACACAGTGCAGCGTATCACAGTAACGTTAGAATACTTATGTTGTTAATGTATTGCTATGAAGCAGCATGGGCAAACGCCGCTGGACTGATGACCAACTGCTTGCGTTGCAACAAGCTGCAGAACGTATAGCTGCAGATAATAGAACAGTTACTGTGAAGAACCTTACAGAAAGCTTGAGAAAAGACTCTCGATTTGCCAATGTTACAAAGAAGCAACTAGATAACTGCATTTACAACTCTAATCGTGGTAAAGAATTAAGGCATGGTAGCGGCACCAATGAAGCCGCTATTAACGAAGTGGATAAGTCTGGTCCGCCACCACCCAAAAAACGCTGTCGGTGGTGTACTGAAGATGAGCAGGCTTTTAAACAAGCATTACAAACGATTGTGGCTACTGGGAAGGAAGCTTCGCCCCGGACATTGCTGCTTAAAATGGGGCGGCCCAGTGTTTCAGCACGCATGGTGCGGAATCGACTGTGGAAGGAACAAATTCAAAAAGGTATGGTTGCTCATAGTGAAGCCTATAAAGGTAACCACTGTTTCGCTGACGACAATGCATCATTGCATACGGTAGACGAAGGTCAGAAAGTTGCAAGCCGCGCTCAAGAGGAGAGCGGTATAGGTACGTTGTTTGTTATGAGTGCATTTCTGAGAAGGTTGGTGGAAGAATGCTGCACTGAAGAGAGCGTACCACTGAATACTAGCTGCTGCGACCAACATGCAGTGATAACACCCACAAACCCCTGCCCACGTAGAAGAAGACGAGTTTGGTGACGAGGCACTGCCAGCATTCGACGAAAACAGTGGTGTGCAGAGGTGCACCTATACTTCAGTTGAAGCAGCAGAGGAAGCCTGCAGATCTGCCTTTGCAGAGTCCTGCTCATATGCCTGCTGCTGCTGCGAACGCAAGCTGTTCAGGCAATCAGTTGTGGAGGTCACGGAAAACATGCATGACACACTAAACGAGGAGTGGGCTACGAGGAGTATAGCCTGTCCAGTTCGTTTTCTTTTTCTGCGCAAGCTTTCCCACCGCCCTGTCCTCCCCACCCCTTGCTTCCTCTTGCCTTACCTCCCCTCGCTTTCCTTTCACCACCGTCCCTGTTATTGCTTTCCTATCCCTTCCCCTGCCCACTCCCTCCCACAGCTTCCATGCTTTTGACATTCTTTCCCTGCAACACCCCTTGCCAATCCATCCCGTCCCCATGCCTGTGCTTCCATCCCTTTGCCCCTTCTGCCCTGACGACGCTTCCCTTTCACCCCGTTGCCTTTACTTCCATCCCTGTCCCTCCCTTGCCAAACCTTGGCTCCCAAACTTTCTCTACCATCATTTCTCCTCCTTGTCCAACCCTTGTCGCCAACACGCTTGTGACCCTCCTCAGCAGCACAACTTGCCCCCGAGGGGCGCAGACGCCTGGCTAGCCGGTGCAACGTGCCCATGGGCACAATTTGTGCCTTCCCACCAACCCAAATGTGACTCCCACGCGCCGCCCTCGTAAACAGCCGCAAAAACGCACCCAACCACCCCACCGCACCGTCACCCCTCCATGCTACACACCCATTTGGGCAGGCCATGAGATCGCTTCGGTCTGGTTACAACATACGCATCAGCTGCTTCCTCTAAACGTTATTTTTTATTTGTTAGGGCACGTTGGGAATGAGGCGGTTCTATTAGGGTTACTGTAATTAAGACCTTAGGTGTCATTGAACCCCTGAGAAGATGCAAATTCTACCTGTTCTTGCTGTAACCAGTTCTATACATGAGACCTGAAGAAAAGAATACAATACACCTCTCAGAACTCTCACCATACGCCAGACACAAAAGTTCCAATGTTTCATCTAAAAAAATTGTTGCCAGTCCGGACCCACTCACCCACACCAGCCAAACGACCAACGTTACAAGCCCATACGTTTTCCACTACAAGATATTTTAAACAGAATTCAGACAGCTGATTCGGAAGCTCACGCTAACATCCTTCAATTTGGGTCACCTTTTGTAGTTACTCCCCCCACCCACCAGCAGGTGGTTCACAAGTTGATTACAACTATGCCTCTGCAGTATCTGGGGAAACCTGTGGGGACCCGTCGTGGGGACGCCGCTCCCCCTGCCACTCCATGCACACTTCTATGCATGGAAAATTCCGTAATGCGACTATGTTACCTTATACGAGCTGTTGACAGTAATGCGAACGAAAGACCCAGGTGCGGAGGGGACTCAACGGTAATCACAGATAGCGACATGACTTTGAAGATTGTGCTTACGTACCATAGCCTACCACAGTATTTCAGTGCAACCACATTGCCACCTGCCTGACCTACAACACCAAGTAAGTGTACGCATACCCAACCTGAAAGCAAAATACGAGTAAGCCTAGGTCTGCAGCGGCAAGCAGATCACAAACAATAATGCCAATAGCTCACAGTATTCTCATCTCACCTGCATTACTAACTCC